GGATTTTAGTTTTAAAAAAAAAAAAAAAAAAAAAAAAAAAAAAAAAAAAAAGTGCACTCTTATTGAACAATGCACAAACAAAAAATCAATCATAATCTATGTTTTAGAATGGAAATCTTGTTAATGCAGAAGAATTAAAGGATTCACTGGACGTTAAGGCACACCGTCATATCAACACTGACTCTGATTCTGAGTTACTCTTGAACATATTCGCTGACAATTTACAGCAAACCGGTAAATTCAGGTAACGATAAATATATGCGTTTTATTAAATTACATATCACTTTTTATGATTATTAATTCAAATTTTGATTTTATTTTGAATGGAAGAATTTACGAAGAAGATATCTTCACGGCTATAAAAGGCCTTTATGAACAATGTATAGGTGGTTATGCGTGTGTGGCTATGATTGCAGGTACGTGTTTTACTAATATGTCACTTTCGCATTCGTATATTGTCAATCATATAATGAAATATTTTTAGGTTTCGGTATTATTGGGTTCCGGGATCCACACGGAATCAGACCAATATGTTATGGAATTCGACGAAGCCACGATGGCTTTGATTTTATGTTTGCATCGGAGGGTGTCGTGTTGGATGCTTTAGGTTTCACTGAAATTAAAGATATAAATCCTGGTTAGCGTACTTGCAATTCTTATGTATTTTTATGCAAATTCATCGATGTTAATCAATCTTTGCATAAAAAGGTGAAGCTGTCATCGTCACAAGGCAAGCTATAACAAAACGTAAACTAGTTCATTGGGGAGAACCCACGCCGTGTATATTTGAATATGTATACTTTGCTCGCCCTGATTCAGTCATCGACGGAATTTCCGTATATCGCTCGAGATTGGAAATGGGTGAGCATTTAGCCAACCAAGTTGTGAAAGAATGCGGCAAAAACTTGGACATTGATGTCGTAATTCCAGTAAGCTTTTTTTTTTTTTAAAAAAAAAATAATTTATTAATATTATGTAAGAATAAATTAAAATGGTTTATATTAGGTTCCTGATACAAGTCGTGTAGCTGCTCTTCAAGTGTCACATAGATTGAAGATTGCGTATCGTGAAGGATTCATAAAAAATCGTTATGTGGGCCGTACATTCATAATGCCCGGACAGCAAATGCGCCGAAAGAGTGTTCGACGAAAATTGAATGCCATGGCTTTAGAGTTTGCTGATAAAAATGTTTTAATAGTTGACGGTATGTTACAAAAACTAGAAAATAGAAATTATTGAAAGTCTGGAAGAAAATTTTAATTGGTTTTTATGTATGTAGTTATTTTATTTTTGATCAAAAATCAATATTGAATAAAATGATCTGCGACATAAACAACTAATCAAAATTCGTAATTTGCGGACTATGCCTCTATCGTAACATCTTTGGGGCAATTATGGTTACCTTTTATTATTATAGCTTACCATTAGCTTTTTTTCTCTGTCATGATCATATAGATTCAATCGTTAGAGGTACAACTTCCAAAGAGATTGTCCAAATGGCACGCGATGCCGGCGCAAAGAAAGTATACTTCGCTTCGTGTGCGCCTCCGGTTAGGTAATTATTTGTCATCCTATTATCAGTTACATGTCTAAAACATGATCTAATTCTGATGTTTCATATAGATATCCTAATGTGTATGGTATAGATATGCCATCTCGACGGGAGCTTGTGGCATTTAATCGTGACAATGATTCGATTGCCAAAGAGATAGGTGCAGATATGGTAATATATCAGGTAATAAATCATTCATATTTCTTCTACATAAGTTTCTTTTGGTATTACTGTTAATTTTTGTTAAACTCCTGTAGGACCTCGATGATTTGATTGCTTCTTGTCAAAAGTTCAACCCGAATATTACAAAATTTGATTGTTCCGTATTTAACGGCCATTATGTTACCGGCGGAGTTACAGATGAATACTTGGATCGCTTAGAAAAAACTCGCAGTGATTTGGCAAAGTCATCCAGGGAAAACCTTCACTCTCCCGATACCATCGGCCTACATAACTTTCTCCAAAAATCGTATTTTGAACGAAATGGTTGGAATGGTGTTAATGGTGTTAATGGAGCAAATTAATTCATTACAATATTGGTTTTTTTTCTTGTTTATGTATATATGTATGAGAAATTTAACATGAATTGGCATAGTTTTAGTTATATTTTATTGGGATCGGTACTGTGGGGATACTTGGAAATCCGGTAGCGGTATATATTAATCAAGTGATTCTACTTTTATACTGTATATTTTATCAATTAAGTCAATTTTGAATACCATCACTGCGATTACATCATGTGAATTGACTCAGTGTCACAGGATCATGTAATAAAAATGATTAAATTTTACACAAGACCTTATAATATAAATATGGAAGAAGCTTCACGTCAACGTAAAGAACGTTTAGAAACTATACGTAAACGAAAGCTTGAATCTTCAAAATCTGAAGAACAAACTGTAGATAACGAGGAAGATTCTAATACTGTAAAGTACTTATGAACATTAGTCACTAGTAAAGGCTACTGCTTTGAATTATTTATTACCTAACTAACCTCTACAAATCGTATTGTTGAATGAATAAAAGAAAACCCGCATTGAAATTTCGTAATTATACTCCGGCAAATGAAGAAATAAAAGCTGCTGCCAAAGTTCACATAGCGACGCCAAATGATTTAGGCGAAACTTTAGAAAAGCATGTAGATCGAATTACAAAAGAAGTGGAAGAAACTGAACAAGCAAAGCGCGAGGAAGAAGTAGTATGTATATGTAAATTATGATTGAGTCACTTTTATTAGTTTAATACAGACTATTCATGACATATTTTTATAGGATTTATTCAACCTGGCCCCAAAAAAACCAAATTGGGATCTCAAACGTGATGTGGAAAAAAAGTTAACAAAACTTGAAAGAAAAACACAAGCTAGTATTGCCCATCTAATAAGTAATACCTTTTTTTGCTTTTACTAGAACTTAGTGATCTGCTTAAATTTGTTAATGAATTCTTTGGAAAAAAAAAAAAACAATAGAGGCAAGACTTCAAAGTGAATCGACAGAAAATACATCGGTTGGTCTGATCGATGCCGTGAACGCGCAACAAAAAGCTGATTTAGAAGATAATGACTCTGATTAATATGAGGTGCAACAATTGAGGGTAACAACCCAAATCTTCTTTTTAAATTATGACATTACTATTTAGTTTGGATTTGGAATCAAGTTCTTCATTTGAGATAATATCAAAACCCAAACATATATCCCATCATTAGTCAATACTGCAATAGTGTCAAACTCAAAAGCCAATTAATTGTTAAATCAAGGCTACGTATAAATTACTAAATAGTTATTTTCATTTTTAGATTAAAAAAAGTTTATGTTGAATAAGTGATACGTTAGATTTAATAGTCATGTACACAATCATAAAAGTGAATTTTCTTGTATTCAGATCTGTGCAAAATTCTGCGCAGATTTTAAAATGCGCGGCAGATCCTCGATTTTGATTGGCTAAGAGCAACAATCAAAAATTAGGCCGGAATTACTCATAATTTTACTAATGAAATCGTAGCTAGGGATGTAAAATTACTGTAATTTTGTGTAATTCTACGTAATTTTGAGTAAGTTTCCGTAATTTTGAACACAAGATATTAGTTTCTGAGATCAAATTTTCGTGCATAATGTTGGCCGTTCTTTCGTAAAGCTGATATTTCACGAAAATTACATGAAACCTTATTTACTGAAACTTACGTAAAATTACATTGTAAAATTGTAATTTATGTAACATAACCCTAATCGTAGCCGTCTATTAAGTGAAAATTGTTACTGGGCCAATTTTACCATAATGCGGGCTTATTTTTTAAAAATTTCTATTTTTGTTATGAAAAATCAAAAAGTTAATTCCGGGCCAAAATTTGAAGATTATCGGCCGTTAGCCAATCAAAATCGAGGATCTGCCGCGCATTTTTTGTGCGGCACCTAGGTTCAATGATATATATAAATTATTAAAGATCTGCGCAGTTATGTGACAATTACCCTAATATTTAGAAAGTAAAAACTATTAATAAATCGATATCCTATTTGTATTACTCATCATTGATTAGCATGTTTGATAAATAGATTATCTGTAATGTTAAAGTGTTTTATATATGTACTATATAAATCAAAGTTATACTGTATATTAGGGTTTTGCAAATGCCTATACCAGGCATACTGGCACTATGCCAGGCACTAGTATGCTTATAGGCAAATGCCAGGCATATATATTTATAAGCATAGGCACAAATACCAGATATTTTATAAATATAAGCATAAATGTTAAACAAAAAGAATATTAAAAGATGCTAAACACAACTTTCAGGCAAGATACTAGGTATAATTTGTTAATAAATTTTAAATTTTTTGTGCTCATTCCTATGCCAATGCCAAGTTTTTGTATCTGTGCTTATGTTTATGCCAAATTTTTGTATTAGTATTTATGCCTATATCAAAGCTTTTAAGCCTATATTTATATCTGAATTTTTGTTAAATATGAGTATAATAAACCTCTACTATATATATTCTATAAAACTATTTATAAGTATATATATTTTTTTTTTACTATTTTAATTATTTATATATTTCTTTACTAACAATAAATTTAAGTATCAGTATTGAAATTTAAGTAAGAAAAATATATAGTTAATTATTTAAACTTATAGTATTAAAATTAGTGATTTAGACAAATATTAAAAAACATGAGTTAGAGTTTGTTTTATATATTTTTATTTTAACTTTATGATTTATAGATTTTATATAAACTCTTTCTATTTAATTTTTTTCATTAAATATACACTATTTTTAATAGTAATTTTGATACTTTTTAAATTAAATATTGTCTAGAAAACTTTAAATTTATTTTGTTTATTTGTTATTGAATATAGACTAGTAACTAGAGCTTTGCAACCTAGGCTTATACCTATATTTAACAAAAATTTAGGCATTGCTATAGGCATAAAAGCTTTAAGAATATTAATACAAAAAATTTGATATAGATATTAGTACAGACACAAAAATTTGACATAGATATAGTACAGATATAAATAGATATAAATACAAAAATTTGGTATTTACTGTATTATATAATTTCTTTACAAACAATACTATTGTTTGTAAAAAAATTTACATAGCAAAAAAAAGTTTTTAAAAATATCTTAGCATAGAGATCTTATCTGGTCAAAAAATTTGTATTCAAATATTTATTTGTTTAATATTTTTATATTCAAATATTTGTTAAAAAATTTTAAGTAAATATTCAAATATTTATTAAATATTTATTGAATTTTGTATATATTATAAAACAATTTTATACTTTATTAATACTATAATTAAATAGCTAATATATAAAATTAAAAAATTTTAATTATTTAAATAAATATAAAAATACAACTTATTAGTATTTAAATTAATACTAATTATTAAAAAACAAATATATTAAGAAATATTATAAGTTTATATTTTAATTTAAAAAAATTTATATCTACTAATCAATAAATTTATAGTTAATTAATTAAATAATTTTTAATTATATATATACTGTATATATATATTCAATGAATATTTAATAAATTATTTGGTAAATAAATTAAATATTCGAATATTCAATTTGGTAAAAAAAATTTTATTCGAATATTTGAATATTCAGTAAATATTCAAATATACTATTCATTAAATCAAACCTCTATCTCAGTATCTACCAAGCCAATTTTGATACTCTAACTACTATTAGATACATTTTAATAAGCTTTACAAAAGTTTTTTAAGCCAGAAAGATGATTAACTTAGTATAAAAAAAAAGTTTTAGATAGAAGCACTGTGTATTTACACTTATAGTAAAATTTATATATATATATAAAAAAAATTTTGAACCAGATGATTGAAGAATTACTTATTAAAAAAATTAAAAAAATAAGTTAATTTAATAAATTAAGAGATATTAAAAAATAAAAAATATTAATAGTCAAAAATTCTTTCCAATAATCACTTGTACCAAAATTTTTCAAAAAAACTCTATTACTAAAAAATACAAGCATTTATAGTAATATCATTATAAGTCAAAGAAAAACTATAAGACAGCAACTATTCATTGTAATTTATTTATCTAGACAAAATAATAATATCAAAACTCTTTCCGCTGATCCTCACGACCAAACTGCAGCAGAAGAAAAACTCGAAATTAAGCACAATCGTACTAAGATAATATCAGTTGTAGCCTTAAAGAAAAAGAACAAACAAAGAAAAACAACTATAGCTTTATAGAACGGCTTGGCTCTCATCAAACTTTAGCTAGTGTTGCAAAGAAAAAACAAAATATTTGGAAATTTTTTTTTTTTTTTGGAAAATTTGGGGATTCGTCTCTCACCCTGTACTGCAGATCACCAAGCAACAAAACAAATAGACGCGTATAGAAGTAAACAAATAAACAAATAAACAATAAGTCATATAAATAAACAAACAGATAAACAAATACTCAGAATAAACAGAACACAATTATACACGCGTCAAATAAACAAACAAACAATAACAAACAATTAGACACCAAATGCCGGCACTGGAAAAATACAAAAACTTCTTTAACAAAAGTGAAGAAGAAAGATCAGAGCTTTATAACGAACAAAGTACAACCACCCTCAAAAAAGATAGCAGAGTGGCAAATTACCTAGGCACAGATGATAAACACTTAATAGCTATTATTCGCAATGTTTTGCATATTTACGATTGGGCCCAACATAAGGAAACAAGAGATCTTGAGTTAACAGAGGAGGAAAAAATTCTAATAGATGAGAACATCGATCTCAGGAAGCTACAAAGTAGTAGTACTAACATGAAAACAGAAACATCTGCTATGGAAATAAGTATAGAACAACCATCAGAAAAAGTTGAATCAACTATGATGGAATTTACTTTGATACATGCAAATAATCAAACTGATGACTGCAAGAACACAACCAGCACTGAATTAACCTCAATGGAAGTTACCCATACACAGACAAATAAACCAGAAGATAGAAATGATCCTGAAATGGAAATTGAATATTTAAACACGCCACGCAAAAGAAATTTTATAGAAAAAGATAGTGATAGCAGTTCAGCAGAAAACGAACAGGATGCAGTCAAGTTAGTTTTACTAAATAATGAATGTGGTGTGATAGATTACGGCCTTGCTAG